GAAACAAAAACAAAACCAAAAACAAAAAAACAAAAAAACCCACAACAAAAAATGTCCATGACGCTAGAATAATTACACGAGGGTATCCAGGACTCTCGCATGGAAGATATCAGTGTCCACCATGTCCGGGCTTTGACTATATCTCAAGTAAACAAAGCAACCAAAGAAACTCCCATTTTGGTCAATGAAAAAAGCCCCTCGACAGGACACGTGTGCATCAAGTGACCACTTGGACAAAAGCCACATTGACATGTCAACAATCCTTTCGAGCTGGGTGTCTCGGGAAGAGAGGATGAATGCTCTCGCTGGTCACAATATTAGGTACACCCCATGATGTTGAGATTGAAAACAAGAGGAACATTCTGTCACTAAAGGCTGTGCAGGCGAGGCAAGTGAACCGAATAAAGTCCATTTCTTTAAAAACACCCGAGTGCATATACGGGCATGTTATATCCAGGAGACGCAATCTGTCTAATTGTGTTTCTCGCACAGTAATTCCGAACACTTTGCAATCATCGGGAAGTATCAAGTCGGGGTCAAACCTGTGAAAGAAATGGTTTCATCTGGAAAATTGACACAAATCTATTAGAAAGTGACTTGTGTGATGATGACTGCGGTAATGAGCGGCGGGGGAGCAGCGAGGTGGAAAAGTTCTGCGGCTCGCACGTTCACTCGACAGAGTCACCAAAAGGAGCCGGCACTTAGCCTAATAAGACGAGTAGCCTGGCAACACGCAATTAAACGTCTGCGTGTAAAATGAGCTCTCAGGTCACGTTTAATGGGCAGAGAGCTCATCAAGATTGGGCTGAGCAGGAGAGGATCACTGCAAGGGAATTTGCGTGAGAAAAAAAAAAATGTCACGCTATATTATAGCATACCGTGCATGAAAGGTTAACTTTAACATGTGTTTTATTGTCTTACCGCCCCCCCCCCCAACCCTTCAAAAGAACAAGTAGCCTCAACAAAGGGGTGTTAAACACTGTCAGGAAAAATAGGGTACTGTTGGGGTTCATTTTTGATCTCTGAGGCAACGTTTTGTGATGTACTCTACAGGGGTCACAACACGGGGAAAAAAATGGTCTATACTAGCAAAGGGGTCTTTTTGGTTACATGTAAGGGTGCAAACAAGTGCAAGGACTAAGGAAATGCCTTTCGAAACAGCCCACTGACGTATGGAATGCAGTTTAAAGAAATAAACAGTACTAGTAGTAACGTAGACGAGGGATCGGTCACCGAATGCACTTTCAACGAACTGTCGTCGGTTCTTGTGAAGGAGGACGATGCGCCGTTAATTTGAGACAAAAAGCTACTCGTAAAAAGAAATGATACAGTAAAGGCGACATTAGATTGGCTTCAAAATATTGACACAGCGAGTCTGGAGCTGATGGGGAGTCTGAGGAAAAGTGCTGGTTGACTGAGTTGATTCAGACAGCAAGTCGGAGCAAGAGCAGCCTACCCTGGCGAGGTTGTGTCGTCCGCTCCGCTGGAAGTGGCGACAAAGTTCAAGGTATTAATAGTTTAGAGTAAAATATAGGCTTTTAGATGTGATAGTCGGAACTAAGTAATTTTAGAATTCTGTTAGTCCAAGTCCAGTATAAACAATAGTAATAGCAATCAAGACCAGGGATTAGCAATTTATGTAATACACTTTTCAACGAACTGTAAACGGTTCTTGTGAAGTGGGTACTACACACATGCAGATTTTTAAATTAATTTTTTTTTATATCAAAAGTGATGTTGAAAACATGAGGGACTGACTCATGAGTAAGAAAAAAAATGTGTGTTTTTACTGCGTGTACCTCAAGATGACCAACGGTACACACCACACATGCAAAGAAGATCTCCATCCACAACCACCAGTCTCCTCGCCAAACAACACGTGCGGCAAAGTACGGATCCGAGAGACAGCAGCCAAGCTATTTATTGATGTCGCCACTCTTAGAATACGACGTTTGCAGTAGCGGGCCAAAAAGCTCTTGCCGTGAGATTGTAAGCAAATGAGACGTGACATGAACCCTTGTGTCAATACTTGGCTTTTCCGAGGAGAGAGATGAAAATATGAATCTTTTGTTGCTAACATACATTGATTTTTGTGGGCAGGAAATCAATTGGAAGGTCTGTAAGAACTCATATGGTGGCCATTTGTGTATCTAACCTGTCGAGACAATAATAAGCATAAAAGGACAGCGGCCCGGAGCGATGAATATTAAAGCCAAGTAAGACACAACACTCGAACCATCTGGCACGGCAACATGAGGTGAACTGGAATAAATGTTCCCAGTAAATGTTATTCCAAACAATATGCCTCCAAGAGCGCAGAGTGACCGTTCAGCCGAGCTTCAAATGCCATTTCATGCATTCATACTCCGCAAACCGAACACGGCGACGACAAAGTGCTGCGATTTATGATTACCAGTCAACTAAGCAGCGGCGGTGGCCTGCGCCC